GCAAAATTGGAGGAGGATTATGGTCTAGCAAAGCGAGCTATGAAGGTCTATGATGAGGCAACTAAGGCAGTACCAAATGAAGAAAAACTAAGCATGTATGAGATATACATTGCTCGTGCTGCTTAGATATTTGGTGTCCCTAAAACAAGAGAAATCTATGAGAAGGCCATAGAGTCTGGTCTTCCGGATAAAGATGTGAAGACAATGTGTTTGAAATACGCAGAGCTAGAAAAGAGCTTGGGAGAAATTGACCGAGCTAGGGGAATATATGTGTTTGCATCTCAATTTGCAGATCCACGCACTGATGGTGATTTTTGGAATAAGTGGCATGAGTTTGAGGTTCAGCATGGAAATGAAGATACCTTCAGAGAAATGCTGCGAATCAAAAGAAGTGTTTCTGCAAGTTATAGCCAGGTAAGCCTTTATGAGAAAAACGTTCCATTTAGTTTTTTGATACATTATATGGGTCTTTCCTTTTATTCATGCAGAATCTTTCGAATTCCTGTTTAGTTTTTAGATACTGTTCATGGTATAAATACAAAAGCTTCCCATTTAGTTTTAAGATACATTATCTGGGTTTATCATTTTATTCTTGCCTAATCTTGAGAATTCTAGTTGAGATTTGCTTTTCATCTTTTATTCTAATTCTCTTTTTTGCTGATTTTTCAGACACACTTCATTCTGCCAGAGTACATGATGCAGAAGGATCAGTCATTGACCCTTGATGATGCAAAGGATAAATTGAAGCAGGCGGGTGTCCCGGAAGATGAGATGGCTGCTCTTGAGAGGCAATTGGCCCCTGCGTCCAAAAATGTCAATTCTAAAGACAGCAGCAGAAAAGTGGGGTTTGTGAGTGCTGGGGTGGAGTCCCAGACTGATGGAGGGATGAAACCAGTTGCCAGCGAAGACATTGATCTGCCAGAAGAAAGTGATTCTGAAGATGAAGAAAGAGTTGAAATTGCACAGAAAGATGTTCCTACTGCTGTATTTGGAGGTCTTGTCAGGAAGAGAGACGATGGTGACAGAGATGCGGATGATGATATTGTACCAGCCAAAGATAGGGAAAGTGAGAGTCGTCTAGGAGCCCTTGAGAGAATAAAGAGGCAGAAAAAAACTTGATTTTAGTTACCTTGTCTAATTTTGATTGCTGATATCTTTTGTTCATTTACGACGCATGTACCCTTTAAGCATTTCTGACATGCATTAAGCTAGTGCCTGCCTGAATATAACGAGATTATGAGTAATTCCAATTCTTGTGATTATTGCCCCTGCAGCCAAAGTGCTGAACTTGGCCCATGTTTTTCTTCAGCTCCTACGTCTACTTATGAAAAATAACCAGCTATTTTGTACTTGCTCCTGGAACATCACAATCCTTACTCATAGAAGATAATTTTTTCTGGTGAAGTAAATGCATTAATTCCAATTTGGTGCAATTTTCACGTTCTCTAACTATTTTTATACAATAAGAGATGATGAAAGAACGATAAAAGAACAACCACAAAATTCTGCTGGAAGAGCCAAGTAGAAATTCTACTACGTAAAGAAATGGATACAATTGCTAAAAGCTCGTCCCTAGCTTCGATAGAAGCTTCCCAATACACCCTATCTCACAACGCTCTTTTGTACTCAATAGCAAATTGCATCCATTATTGCAATCAAAATTCAAGACAGCATTAGCAAGTTTAACTTGGCCTTCCACATTTCATGTCTGTTGGTTTGCAACTAATTTGACAGAATATGGCACTTGATCGCCTTAAATATTTATGCATCTTCCACTCTGCATTGATTGATCTTGGATGAAATTTCTTCACTTCGGAGACTTGCCATGTTATCCCTGGGCTGCTAGCAAAACTGACACTGCTGGTGTTGGCTGAATCATCAGGAGAGATGCGACCTATGTTGGAAAGTGGGTTCAAATCTCTTCATCACCATTTCAAGACAAAAAACATATTGAGCAAACCACGTTTGCCACCACTGGGTCTCCAATACCATACCATTGATCTCCATGGTTAGCTACTGGTTGTCATGGTTGACTCTCTGTTTTCATCTTGAATTCCCTGCTGTTCATTTGTTAAAACATGAGAACTTTGATGTCAATTACAAGAGCATCACAAAGTAGCATTGATAATGGAAATGAGAAATAAGAATTAAAGAAAAGCATATCTACTTGAAATGAATTTCAAGTTTAATCATAATTCTACTCAAAACATACTTTCAAGGAGTTTCATTATGGGTTGAGATGTCCCTGGAGTCTGGGTACAACTTAGTTGATGACAACTCAACAGAAAGT